ACTGACAAAACTCTCGCCACATCTTTGGTGCAGAGTATTAAAGTTACCCGTAAAGAATGTACAAAACCAAACCAGGATGGCATCCCCTCTTGAAGAGGGTGCAGTGACCAAATCTCCACGTCACACAGCACGCTGGAATACCACTACCGCTTTTGCCAGACCACCACTGTGAACCTCACAGAATTCTGGACAGTATTGGATTCGATTCATCGAGACATGCGATGGCGGATCATGGAAATAAATAACTTTCCTCAAAACCCAGCGAACCTACTTAAGACGCACTAACGCAAGATATGAGCAAGATTCCAGGCAACGGGAAAATAACTTACATGTTTTCACATTAATTCTGGTGTCTGTCAAGGTTGCGTCCGCTTCCATATTCTATTTAACTTCGTCACTGATGGATCATGAGGACAGGAGTGAAGGACTTTACTAGCATCGAGGTCATTATATCATTGAACTATCCGAGATCTTAACTTCTCATGTCGCTGCAACAGTGGACCAGTGGTCAACGCAAAAAATTAAAGGTATTCTTTAGTGGGGGAAAAACTCGTTCTCCATTATCACACTTGCCTAGAAGAAGTCCGTGCCTAGTTAATTAGTTCTTCCGTGCTTGGCCATGTACAATCCAAAGATGCAATAGTAGCAGCAAGAAGACTTTGACTTCTTCCAGCTCAGTCAGATGCTGTGGATAAAATGGCGAAGATGAGCCTGAAGAGCAACCGTAGCGTCCTACATCCCGCCATCTGCTCCATCCTCCTTTATGGATGGAGACGTAAGCCCCAAGAGTCGAAGAAGTGAAAAAGAGAATATTTCAACCATTAGTAGATACCCGTAGATATGAATTATATGGCAGAAACGATTCATCGATCACATCCAATGCCATAATCTGTGCCTCTAGCAACATCATCTAGCAGTCTGCTGTCCTAAAAGAAAGGCGTTACGTTGGCTGGGACAACCTGCTGAGACGTCCGCCAGACGATCTCACTTCCATTACACTGAAAGTCATACCAATCTTTGAAAGGCACCAGAAACATAGTGAACAATTTATGACCCGGTGAAACACTCTCAGAGCTGATGTTAAAGCATTCTCTGAGTAGACAGCTTTAAGGGTAAAAACAGTGGAAAAAATCTGCGAGAAAAAAACTTGATGAAAGACACTGAGCGTGATCGACGGATGCGAAAAGCGACTATCGGCAAAAGTCACTGGAGCGGCCTGAACCAGTGATGGTAACAGGCCGCAACAACAAACAGCACCAATGGTACCTGCAACTGGTACTACGGAGGCCGTTTCATTAAAAAATCATTAAATTACATTAAGGTTGATCATGATACGCTGCGACGACGGTCTGGTTCGAGGAGGTGAATGACAAGTGGAGGGGTGCAGCAAACAGAGGACCCTAAATCACTTCATGACATGAAAATTCCAATCGTTTCTGAACACAATTAAACTTAAATCAGAAAGACGATATGGTAATAGGTTCTAAAGCAGAAATGCATCATTGCAATGCGCCAAACAATCTTTCAAAAATACTGTTACGATTAGAATTTTAGAACCTTCAGGATAGGAAGTTAGACATCTTTGTGTTATCTGCAGAGCTCGTCGAAATATTTAATTTAGACATTTTTTACTTTAAGTTGTGCATAGTATAAACTACTGCAGTCTGGAAATAAACTTTGTTAGTATATTGCTCCCCCTAAGTCTTACTGCCACTATGTCAAAACGGTAGGGGCTGAGAATGGTATATGATAATGTACAACTGAGCCTCTGGGCTCCAACAGGTTCAGAAATGTTATGAAAGCTAGAGAAACATACCCAGAAAAGTGGAAGAGATCACTCACAAATCCGCCTGTCTAGCTTGGTGAGTTACGAGTTAATTACAACTAAAACAATGCTTATCATTCTCCAGAGCTCGGACTGCCGCTGGAAAAGCAGCAACTGGTCAGGCATGAAGAAAGATGTTAAGAATAAACTGGTTACGGGCAAAAGCTGATGCGCCTTACTAACGCTGGTAACGTAAAACTGCAGACTATATTTAGGCGAAGCACGACTTCAAAATCTACAAGAAGTGAGGAAAATCACCTGTGATACTGTGAGTCTCAGCAAAATCAAACGGCATAAGGTAGGGGCGCAAAAGCTTAAAAGTTGATATCTCGTGTTGTGCAGAGGATTGACAAATAGAAATACAGGGGAAAAGACTTCATTAAACAGAAACGATTAAAGAACAAGTAGGCATTAAGTCGATAATACTTCAGAAAGGTGGACACGATTAGTTTTGAGAGTTTCAAAATGACATAAACTTCAAGTGATCCAAGTCTATGCACTATATCAATCCATCCTGACGAAGAGATAAAAGATTTCAATAAAGAACTAGAAGAAAATGGAAAGAGCCATTATGGATTCGAATTCATTATCTGTGACATCAACGCAAAGCTAGACAGCAGCAAAAAGGAATACTCTGTGAGTCCATTTGTTTATGGCAAAACGAACGACATAAGTGACTGACGACGAGTTTTGCTGTGAAACGTAAGAAAAGATGAAATAACCGAAACCATGTCAAGAATAATGTCATTTCATCGTCAGTAACATGACGAACACAGTGAAAGATGCCGAGATGCTGAACAAGTTTAATGAAGGGAGGGATCACAGGATCATCATGCAAATCGCATGGACTTGGACTCAGCTGAGAAGAAAGGAAACTGATGACGATGAAACGCAAGATATTGAATGTGGAAATACTAAATAAGAACCTACCACATATCTTTAAATCAAATTAAATAACCGATTAGACGACCTTGACGGCATGCAAGAACAAGAAAATGGCCAAGCAGTGTAAATCAGTTAATGTATCAGGGTATAAGAAAGCAGTTGTTGAAACGGCGGAACATCGCTAGAACTAGAATGATAAAGGTCGACAGAAATCAGGAACCAAACGAATAAGATGAGCTCATAATAGAAAGAAAAGAAATGAACATAGCAACAGGTCAGAAATCAAAGGCACAACTTTGCGAACTATATGAGAACGGAAAAAAGATGACGGCTAAGCATTTAACTGTAGATCAGTAAAAGAAATTACTGAAAACAACCGAAACAAAGAAAATGAAGTAAAGATCAACGATAACAAAATGGCAAATTTTAGCTCTCGAAGCAGAACACGTCACTATCATAAGAGACAGAAAACAGACGTAAAGAGTGAAAGATTTCCATACAAAACTATACGAATATGAAAACAGCAAAACGTCAGATTATGAAAAGCGGGAAGATACAGAAGGCGATAAAATACCAGATATCTTAAAACAAGAACTGTGACTTTCAACAAAACAGGGGAAACGTAGAAGAGCTCCTAGCGAAGACAGAAGTGGTGTATTGCTTTCACGCTGTCTGAAGGAACTGAAAACTTCAGACGATTTGATCACATCACTGGTAATTCTACTCTACAAAGAGGGCATGAACAATTGCCGACTGCTGAGTTTGCTACCAGTGATCCACAGGATCTTCAGGAAGGTGCTGACGAACAGACTTCTAGAAAAACTGAACACCGAACAGCTAAAGGAACAGAACAGACAGGATTCAAAAGTAGATTTAGTACGATGGATCAACTTCCAGTGGTAATAAGCGGAATTCAGACAACGAATATCGGCTTCTTCCTCACTGGCAAATTGTCTATTTTAAATAGGCGTTCGAACCTTGTCTACATCCTTTCTGTAGGAATTCTTTGAGCATGCATAAAGTCGAGAAAGATAGGTAACTTTATCGTCATGATTTGCAAGAACGCAACTGCTGGTGTGAAGCTTCACAAAGCACAAACAAGTTAAAAGTCGAAAATGGTGTGCGACAAAAAACAATAACATAAGTTATTCACTGTAACGCAAGAAGAAATTTTCATGACATTCCACTGGAAAACTCAGGGGTTGAACATAAATGGGCATTGTTTAAGTCCTCCACCGTTTGTGGACGACAGTCTCCTCGTCTGAAGATCACCAGAAGAACTCCAAAGAAAGAATCTAAAAGCTAAACGATCCGAGCATCAAAGTAGGGAGGATTGAAAATGAACCTGGAGTCAGGCGATGTTACTCACAAATGCGTTATATCATGATCTGTAGAAGTCAAAGGACACAGGCATGAAAAAGTGCAATGCTAAGCCTATTAGGTACGTCTCATCTTCGCAACCTAGAATCGACTTTATGAAAATAACAGAAGAACAAAAATGATACGGAACAGTTTCGCAAGAATGAAAATGTTCCCATCCAGGAAACGGCAATTGTGCTTGAAACTGAAAGAATTCGATAAATGAGTGTTGCCACCAGTGCTAACCAATGAGTGCGAAACGTGGACTCCATACTTGAGAGCTATTCATGAATTGCAGACTACGCAACACTGCATGAAAGGATGTATGTTGGGAACAAAAGGAAACGATACGAAGAAAAATGAACGAAAACCAGCACAAACAAGAGTCTGTGATGTCGCTTTCTGAATAAGGAAGATAAATAGCGATGGGCGGCAAGCGCAAACAATTTTTACCATGACTGAACCAGATAGATATCAGACGTGGTTCTAAGAGAGAGCAGACGGTCAACTGGAAATCTTCCAAAACGATGGTCGAATGAGCTGAAGTAATTCCCTCGAGATAGACAGATGAAAAGGGCAGATAACAGAAGTTAATGGCAAAGTCTTCTAGAGGCTTTAATGCAGCAGTGGATCAAAAACAGCTGATGATTACGATAGCGATGATCACGCTGTTTAGAATACGTTTAACTGGGACAGTCTGAATCCGAATGTGTTTCACTGCAAGGATTAGAACTACCGCTCGCCAAATTATCTGCCCAGTTCCAAGACTGTACAATTCTTGCATCACAACGAATATAAAAGAATGACCACGCCAGCTATGCTCAATCAGAGTATTCAACACAGTTTATAAAGAAAAGAACTACCATTTTTTAAAGTTGCTTCGAAGAACTAAGCGGACAACGTACAGTGTCCTAAAATGATTTTTTAAACGATTTACCTAAGCATGCGGCAACGATGTTCATCTAGTCTGCTTGCGGCCAGCGTAGTATCACGGACGTCGGCACTGCTCCACAGCCTTTCGGCAACAGCACTAGCTCGAGGCCTTTAAATTAAAACACAGAGTATATCACATTGCATCGTGCAGAAACTATACCACAAAAGAGGAATAACATTGGTTTTATCCACGTATTCGCCCCACATACATGCTTCTCCACCTAACACTAGCTTTTTCTGTTCATCAGTACCTGAAAACGATATTTTTTAAATAATAGCCAACGTTAACAAAATCAGTATTTTAACTGCCAACAACTTCCCGATCGAACATCTACAGTATAAACAGACCTAGAAAAAGCATTCCAGCTTGTAACTGCGAGTATTTACGGTTATCCTACCATTTTTACACCAAATATCTGGCATGTAGAAGCAATAGGCGAGTAATACTAACCTAGCATGTACATAAGATACTAATACACATGACAAATAAAAACAAAGAGAAAAATTAATTACTTAGGAATATCCAAAACAAAATCATTAACTACTGAAAAACAGCTAAAAAACGGTTTAATAATAGGCAAATCAAAGGATATGCTTAAGTCGGTGAGTGAACAATACCGGTGTTTTGGAACGCATCGCACGAGGCTTTTTCAAGATAAATGGGTTGTTTTTTCGCGAGTGTAACTGGTCTTCTGTAGTAGTTGGGTTTTGGAGCCAGACGACAAGCTTTCGGTTCGTACTGCTTGTCAAACAGATTTTGAGCGACAAGGACAATGAGACTAATCAAATCCGCGCATATTTGGTATCCTTTCCACGGCTGACATTTTCACAAAACTGGACGATAAATATGTTTCATCCGTCTGCATAGCCAATGCCTTTCTTTGATGATGACGCTGTACCCAGACTATCAGGGGTAGTATCCTTGCCTGGCCGTATGCTGTACAATCTCAGAGGTCTTCTGGCATTGTTCCCTGACTTTGTTGTGGGCGAGGCTTTTCCTGGGTGCTTCGTTACCTCCTGTTGCTCACGACCATCCATCTTCTCCAGCTTGACAGGTGAGTCTTTGTTCTTTGTGTGACGGTGTTCCCCGTCTCTCCTAAGTATTAAGTCCTAAGTAAGTCCTAAGTCTCTCTTAATATTTTCGGCAGCAACGCTGCAGTCTGTAAACTCAGCCTAGAGAATATAATTCTCAGAATTATTTAATAACGCATTACGTTGTTAGAACTTTTATATATGACAATAATATTATACTTGGTGTTAAGTAACCTTGTAACTTTTCACCAAAAATTTTCATATGGCACATAAGATTTATTATTAGCGATATTAATACTACATATAGATTTAAAGTGGCTTAATCTATGGTTTATAATGTTATTAACGAATGTAACTTAATAGTTGTTGTTATTACAGGTTTGTTTGATATATTTATTTCGTCTTTCCGAAATTCATTACTACAAAGTTTTAGGGCTCTGTCTACTAAAGTTGTAAGAATGTTTATTTTTCAAATGATAACGTAATTAAACTCTAGATAGTTATCAATGCCAGGAGGTTCATGTTGAAAGTTGGTTTTATAATAGTTAAAGGAATCAATTATTAAGGAATCAAAGAAATGGCAGACCGGAGTTGTTTTCTTTTTCAATTGCTAAATCGATATTTTGAGGGAAAAGACCTTTGAGAAGGTTCAAAAACTTTAACTTACTTAAACAACATAATGACCTCTGCTAATTCCATCGTAAAGGGAATATCTTTCTGTACAGAAGAAGTGAATTATTCCTCCTTCGATGATGATTTCTTCAAACAAGCCAAAGGAGCACGCAACGGTAACCCGCTTATCCTCCCAATTTTGACAAAATTGTCATCGAGCAATTTTAAACTTTGACTCGAGACACCAAAATAGATCTTTTAGGGTTTTCAAAAGATGTGGAAATTGTTTTTGTCACCTATCCCAGCGGTAATGAAAAAAAGGTACTAGACATCCTCAATGGCCCATTCCCTGAAAATATCGAGTTAACAATTGAAAGAAAAAATAACTCTAGTGTACCATTTTTGGTGCCTTAAAAATTAACTCTGGTAACTGCTTTAAATCTAAAGTTCATGGTAAATCTACTAAAACTGACAAATACTTTTAACTTCATCATAAATAATACTTTAACCCATAATACTTTAACTCACATTTAACTCATAAAGTTTAAACAACAAAAGTTCTGTGGTTACAGCTTTAATATACAGCTTCATATTTTCAAAATTATACCACGTGGGTCACCAGAGACAGCCGGTAACCGGCAATGAATGGCGCCGTCCGCCGCAACACTATGTTGTAATAGCGCATGACGCTTTGCCACCTGCTGGCAGGCAGGTTTGTTCAGCCGGTTGTCAACAACCGCAAAACTCCATAAAACCGCGCTTCACGGCGTTAGGACACCGCCTACATATTTCCCTGTTTCTGCAGATCTGTTTAAACATCTGCCGTGCATGGCTGAATCTCGCATCATATATTGGTAATCAGAATCCCACGGATTAACAGTTTTGTCCGTACAACTGGCCGGAAAGAAAGGCAAAAGTACGTATGGTGAAAGTACCTAAATACCTTGGATATACATGTGCTTGTAGGCGTACGACTTTCAGATATGCGATGGTAATATATTTACATTCATTAATGTAAGAAACGCTCATTCGAAAGTGTCATACCCACTGCGGTTCATCCGTAAGCATGGCATACCTGCACGAAATGCTAATGATGATCGACGTGTAGTCCTATGTCATTTCTTTATGCAAAAAATGCAATTTTTCTTAATCTTTATATACCTAGATAGGAACTCCATTTGAATCAAAATTTAAAACATTTAAGACGAACTTCCTAGTCATGAAATGAAATGCAACAGGTACTTCATGAAAAAGTCGTTTATGCGATTGAATATGTGCTTTCAGGGAGCCAAAACACCTAATACAGGGTGCTAAAAACTTATTTCATTGTTTATGGTGTTAGGAGACTTTCGAAAAGAAGTTTACAGAGGATACAAGTGCTGGCTTTGAGCTAAAGCTTATAAGTATTTGTTGCACTTAATTAAATAGCTTGTTTCTGACGTTTAAAATGCCCGGAATCAGGGGATAAGCAATGACAGTTAATTCTGGGGTAGAAACAATCCGTACCAGAAGAAGCAGATGAACATCAGTAAAGATTATGCCCGGCAAGCGGCTTAATCGTGAATAAGATCTAATTTTCCCATATACAAATCTACCAGATTATATGTACATCCATGACGGAAGCCTACAATCCCGACTGGATCACGTTCTCATCAGCCTCATGTGACCAGATCGTTACTCTAGACTCGCGTTTAAGCCGTTGAGCCTAATCACCACATAGTCGTAGTAGAACTCCAATTAAAAAATACCCTGATTTTGTTCTCCTGGAATATGCTAGAAAGGCTGATCGAAAACTTCGGTAAAATCGAACAGGGTTCTGGATGGCGAGCTCCGGTCGTGGCCAAATTTTCACTCTCTGTAAGAGCATTAAGCAACGCGAACGATTCTAGTTGACCGGACTTGCCAGTTTTCTACACTCTACCGTAATATTTGATTCAGTGCATCATCTGAACATGATGAGAATCTTAAGATGCAATAGAATACTTGAACACACCGTTTCCGTTTTGGAAGAGATGTAAGCACACGCGAACTATATCTGCCATGAAAGCCGAGGGAAGGAGACTGGAGTAGTTCCTTATTAAACGTGGAGTTCGGTAGATGTGCGTTCACCGTTTGCCATTCAACACTGTCATTGACTTTCATCTATGAAACAGTGCTGATTCTAGCAAAAGCGAAGGTGTCATTCCAGAAGGAAGGAACAGTTCAATATACCGGGCTAGATATTTTGTTGACCTTGAGTATACAAGGTATTTGATATTTCCTTCTGACTAACCAATACGAGAAGCGCCTTCGTTACCGAAAGATTTCGCACGCAACAGCTGCGAAAGCTGACCACTACCCTAACTCCCGAAAGTCGAAAAATTGAAAAACCCATGAGACGCGGTTGATCTACTGGTAGAATGGAGAGGGGAAAACAGGTGAATTCGATCAATTTAAGCATCTCGGCTCAGTATTCCTAGCGATGGAACGATCCAATCAGATTTAAACAGAAAGATCGCCTTCGACTGCAGTACCATAGGTAGCCTATAAATGATATAAGCTGACAAGGGAGTAGCAATCGCCACAACACATTACCTGTGCCTTGCCTATATCAAGCCAGTGCTGTTGTAAGGCATGGAAACAGATATTTTAAGGAATGAGCAAGAATGACGGTTGAATGTCGCATACAGCAGCATTGGCTTGAACGCATCACAGAGGCTAAACGGCAGGACCATGTAAGGAATGAGTTTATTATCTTCCGGTCACAGGTGACCTCAGCAGATGTGAAGAATAAGAAAATAGGCTTGGTCTGTATGACGGATCGGTTGAGCATAAACCAATTATTCTAGTCCATGGACTTGTGGCATAAGAACCGACAAGGAGGCCACAGTGCAATTTACAGAAGGCAGAGAGATCGGTTTTAAGAGAGGAGCTGTTCCTTCTAAGATGCAGTATCCGGTGCCTTATAACAAAAGCGCTGTAAAGATGCAGACACGACAAATTGCCTAGACCAGGAAAGTACGGCTGATGCAAACGGTTCAAGACGAAGATTACACAAACATATCATGTTGTCAAACTTACTGCTGATACCTCGTCCGTTTGGCTCACAGACCTGACTGGCGTCGGAAGTATGGCTATGCTTGGAAGGTGTATTATGTTAACGCTGCAATGAAATCATAAGTGGCACAGAGAGAGTAGAGTACGGACAATGAATGGCTCGGTTTTGTTCATTAAAAATATGCTGCAACAAGATACGTGTAAGGATCTAATCAGATGCGATTTTTCTTGTTTGCTTATTTCACTGTGGCAACTGAAACGCACTACCACATTTGCGAATTTGTTTTCATACCGATATGTTCACATCAGCTGTGAAACGTGGTTCTAAGACACGTAATCGATTGATACTGCAGAACATTATTCATGTTTTCAGACAATGTTTACAGTTTTCTCCGTATTCTCATTGTAGTCATATCTGTAGGAGCCTATGCGGAATACAGTTCTAGTTTTCTCCCGTTGTCGTAGAAAGTTTCTTTCTTATGCGGTAGTCTAGTTTGTTTAGAGAACTGCATTCTGTGATTACCCAGTATTTCTACTTTTCAATCGTTTGAATCCTTTCTTATATTCTATATTAAATCACCGAGAGATTTTTTTAAGTTCATGTTGGGAGCCATATTTTGCTAGTAAAAGTTTTATTCAATTTCCACTCGCATTACAAAACTGCTATTGAAATCATTTCTAAACGAGCGCGCAAATCTTCAATTATTTGTTATTATTTGTATATTTATTGCACGCCGGTGCTGCTGAGCATAAAGTCAATGATTACCTATGAACAAAAAAACCCGACGTGAACATCTCTAAACTCAGCTGTCAAAGTTGCAAAATTACCCTTACCCAAATGGTAATAAAAAATTAAATAGTAAAAACGACGGAATTACGGATATCAAATGCTTAAATGAACAAAAGGCGATGAAGAAATTTTCTGTAAATGGTCACCTTTGAAGCTGTGAGGGTCGCAGTCGTAAAACGCTTGCCAATCGACTCCGTATCTGATATAATTCAAATACCAGCAACTGGAAAGTATTGCCGGAAGACCCTTTGCAGTGACAGACTGCAACGTTCGACCCCATTCCAAGTTGGAGTAGCCTTTCCACACATGCACGAATATGTCACTAGAGAGCTAAAGGATCGATGTTGGTAGTTGGCAATAAGCCGTTAAATGTGTATACCGTGTTGTTGTTGTCGAAAACTTCCTGCCAAACTAAAAAGTTGTCGTACAGTCCGGCAGCTTTGATAACATCAAGAAGTCTGCAATGGAAGCAGTCTTAAATTTGCAAGAAAATTTGGTTCTTCTTCTCTGCACCTCTGGAAATAGTAATTCTGCAGTCTTGAGTAATCCGTGCCGTAGCCGACTTGCTTCATGAACTCGATCACTGATGGATTACTTCGCCTAAAATAGAGCAGCTACTTACGAACATTCTGCAAAATAGAAACCGAAACTTCACCAGCAGTCGAATGAAACTTCGTCGCCGCCAAGATGAAAAAACTCTTCAGGAAATACGCTTCGGATTTCGGATACGAGTGCCAGCAGGAAGTCATAATTAACCGGATTGGTTGGGTCGATAGGACCGAAAGTGCCGATCGGCTTTGAGGAAGAGTCAAAACATTCAGTGAGCAGGCCAGCCACGGCGTTTCCCCATGATAGGGTATGTCCTGAAACGATGCCATGTACATGAACGGTGGCGCAGATCTTCGAGAGCACGTGAAACAATGATGTGAGCAGCCAACTCTCACTTCGGTCAACTAGCTTTATGAACGAAGGCAATCATACAGCTAGATAACCAAAGAAAGAGGATGGTCCGGTTTCATGCAACATGCGATGCTCGACTTTTCACAGACCGGCATGAGCAAAAAACATGGCTTTCGATGCCTCCTCTTTTGCAAAATACTGCTGCACAACATCAGCCACAGAAATCAGACCGATCATGTCACCGAGTTGGCAGAGCAATCTGAAGGAGGACACCGACAGCGGCTGATGGAACGAACGGTCGAGGAATGCTAATGAAAAACTTGTGCGACGAATGTTAAATAAACTTTCACCTGGGGTGTCGAACTCGGGCAAAACTCGGATGCCGCGGACGGCAGCAAATTCAACCAATGCTCTGATTTCATCCAAGCTATACACGTGTCGTCGCGAGAAGGCACCCTACAATAGTATTTCTGAGTTAAGGAAAAGACGTCGGTGGTGGTGTCTGTGTTCAGGCCATCCAGAACAATCAACCGTTCCATAAAGCATTACCTTGTCAGCAAGGTTCGGAAACAACTCACTGCGGTACGGAAACGATTGATCATCGACGATATGCCAGTGGAAAACGTTGAACTTGTTTTGCGCCATCAGCTCCTACAGAAAACAAGAGTCAGCGATTAAAGATGGCAAAAGAAAACACCACAAAACCCAATAACCTACCCATACCTACTCGTTTGACGGTACATACATCTGTCGTCATAGTTGTAACTACATTCACATGCACATATACATAACCGTCGAACGAAATAAACTTGGTGTACGTACGGCAGCGACAGAAACTGAACTGGTCAAACCGGTTGAGTCGAGGAGTGGGGACAAACAATTTGGCGGCCACTTTGCATAACTCACGCAACTGCGTCGTCGGCCGGCGCCGCAAGCGGCACGTGAGCAATTCTTTTTCGCTCAATACGCAAAACAAGCATCACATGAAGCGGCCGGTTTCCCGTTGCACCAGCGCACAAAAAAATTAACGGAGGAGAAATCCAGCCCAAGGATGCAAAAAACGTGACGACGATGCCAGTAATAAAAAAATAAGGCTTCAAAATATTCTTTGAATTCTCTATGCATAGATGTTCTTACAACCATCTTCAGTGGGTTTACTCCACACATACTTGACAAGTCCCTTATACAAAATCAATATTCAGAAAGGGCAAAAACCGCTTATTTCATACAAAACGGTGATCAATCAGGTGGTGGACCATCCGGACGTTTCGGATCGGCCAATATCTCACATGCCTTATTCAAGGTAGGTGTCGAGTGGCCAACTCGAACGAACATCGATCCTCAGCAACATCTCTACTATGAAGAAGAACTGTACGATACGCACCGAAGTCAATAAATCAACTAGCACCTTGTTGGTACCTACGTAATAAACTGTTTTGACGGCATTTTTCAGTATGGACCAATTTTCAGTGTGATATTAACCCACGAATTATACTAAACTATACTGCGAAATATACTCCAACTTTGAGTTCCATATTTTTCTTTCGGTCATATGTTCCTCTCCAGAAGGCTTCGACACAATCCAGCCATAAAATCCATCAATCTTCTTGAATAGTAACACTCCAGCTTTTCACTATCCCGCGATAACTTCGAATAATACAGCCACTGTAAACCGGCAATCAGTACACTGATTCATGTGCCCAATCCCCCAGCATTCTACTCTCAATGCCCCCCCCCCCAGATACAAACTTCCCGACGGATTTCAGCCGTTTAACTGGCTGTCCGCGAGAAGGCTTCATTTAAAAGATGACTTTCAAGCAATGAGCCTACAACCCGAACGAAGTAGGAAGAAACGAGTAAGGCAACATCAAAAACTGACTGCTGGGAAAACTGCGGTGAAGCGCTGTAATCAAATTTCCAGGAGGTAAACAAGGTATTCTCGCAGAACCATCTGCCACCTTCGATATGGAAAAAAGACAGAGTAAGTGTCACTGTTCTCCCTGACAACCAGTTAAACGGTAGGATTTTAAATGGAAGTTCGTAACTAGGGTTCGGCGGTAACACAGTATAAACTGTTCAGTTTCCACATCTGCCTCAATGCCGTCTGTTCAAACCGTCGTGCGGTTGTTTGCAAATTTCGCTCTCGTATCCGCCAAAGACACTGTTTACCATTTGATTCTATGGTTGCCTCTGACCAGGTAGTTCCACGTACCCCACTTTTCACAGTACAACGTGCCAACAACAAAGTGGTGATCGCTTGACAACTCAACGCCTCTATTAACGCGAACATCCATTACAGAGCGTCCTCATAACCTCTCTCCATCGCCAAAGAATGTTCTAATCTACGGTAAGGTTTCGTTACTTAGCCTTCAAGCGTCTTAGACTGCTCTTCCTTTCACCTCGGATCCGGTGGATGGTCTGCCAGAATACCTTGTTTGCCATCTGGATATTCGACTCCAACATCCCACCGAACTTCTCCCAGGAATCGGCTTTTGACACTGCCTTTCCAGCCGCCTTGCATGTCTCGACATATCGCACGCGTGTAGCTGGCTCTTTCTTTCCAAGCTACTTCTTGGACGCTGCTTTTCTCTCTTTAACTGCCAGTTGTACCTCTCGTGTCCACCATGAAGATCTTTGCTGACCTCCAGGCGGCAGGCCAGCCCGTTTATATCCACAGCATTCGGCGGCAGCCTCGAGTATGCCGCTCTTTAAAAGCTGCAACTCAGTTTCAACATCAGTTGTCATCAACGACACCTGTTCAAACCGTTGTGCGATGTTGTTTGCAAATTTCGCCCTTGTGTCCACCAAAGATAATGTTTTCCAATTGATTCTCCGGTTGCTTCTGCCACCAGATCTTGTATGGCACTCCTTTTCTTACAGCGCAGCGTGCTAACAAGTGGTGATCGTTGGTAGCTCTGCGCCTCTCTTAACGCTAACATCCATTAATGATGGTCTTAAGACAGACGACACGATTATCAAATGAGTCATCATCTGCTGTGGAAAAGTTCATCGGTGTCAGGTATGCTGATGCACTCTTCGATGCTCGAAGAAGACGTTGATAATGGACAGTCCGTTGTTTGAACAAAACCGCGTCAACTTCTTGCCGTTATTGTTGAGGTAGCTAGGGCCGTTGTTTCCAACCACGCCTTTCCACTTCTCGGCGTGTACGCCCACATGAGAATCGACTCTGTAAGTCGGCACTTCGTACAGAGCACACTTTTCCAACAGTCATTCTCTCTCTCTCTCTCTCTCTCTCTCTCTCTCTCTCGAAATTGGGCAGATAGACGTGTAACAAGGTTGACGCTTTAGCCTATTGTAGCTACAGTCGGAGGATTGTCACCATTCCGTTGACAGGCTTCCAATCAGTGACTGCATCAGCGAGGTTGGGTTCTACCGGAACAGAAACACCGGCTTGAACGCCAATCGCAGAGTCAACATCGAAGTAGAATAGCTTTCACCGGCAGAGGTTTAAAATTGGAATGCCATGATACTTCGATGTCTACATCGGAGCAGTAACTTGTCGCCCAGATCAATTAATTCCTATTCTCTTGTTTTTGAGTTAGAAAATGTGATAATTTCATACTGTCTGCTCTTACTCTTCAGGTTTAATCTTATCTGATGCGCTATAATGGCATCGCATTGTGTGCAACTCTGTTATTGACTCTCGTCTTCGTCAGCCGTGCTATTCCATCAGCTGGCATAGGGCGGGGATCTGTGTTTTATCACCGACATTTTGTAGTCTGCCTTAGTTCGGTAACAGTCTGCCCGAAGTTTGTAATCTGGGCAAAAATCGAGCTAGGGCAAAGTTAGATAACAGCAATACTATGAAAGGCAGCTGGCTAAAATTTATACGAACCTCGCAGCGGTTACAAATTTCCTATTGGGGCTCAGGACCGGAAACAGGGGAGTTTGTTGTTGTACCCTAATCCTACAGTAAAAACAAGAAAAAAAAGTGAATCTTGATTATCGTTCCACGTGCCGAACTGAAGCTACTTCCGGGAAATATTCTTTTCTTCAGCTATTATCTGAAGACCATGGAAAATAGAGAGGTTAAGCAAAAATCACATATGATGCAATAATTCAGCTTCGGATGGCATTAAGAATGTCTGTACTTGGCGAATGCAATGAAAATGAAGTGCGATCAGCGAAAATAAAACGTGCCATGTTTAAATGATAGCGTTATAGAAACTTAAGAAACAAGTTTCGATGTCACTGAAGTAGTAGCAAAGAAAATCCTAAAGAATCAAGCAAGAAAGTAGGAGCTGATGGTAAAATGCCAAACCAAATAAAGCAAATATATTGATACGTTACCAGATTGGTTTTGATGACCGAAACCGGCAAAAAGTGTCGAGAAGTGTCCAACAGGACTCCGCGATGAGCGAAACGAGGCCAGTCTTCAATAAACGCAGACTGAATGAGTAGCTGAAAAGTGAAACTATATGGCAAGTATGAGGAAACGATACAGCAAAAGCAAAAAGAACGATTAAATCAATAAAAACTGTTTCTTCGACTTTCATCGAACAAAAAAACAGTATTTCAGAAATCTTTAAGTGTTGCTTTGCAAACGAGTTTTTCGTAATTAGCTTGCTGTCAGAACCGTTATGCAGGAACCTGACTGAGAACGACCGCTAAAAGTTCAGTAGCTGCACCATTCTCAACCACTAATGACTCATTTCATTTCATTTTGACAACTTTTCAGACCTGACATTCGACTTCCGAAACACTTCATCTTCATCTTCCATCGCCGCTTCTCCTTTCGGGTCGCGGCTTCCGAAACACACAGATGTATTTTTTTGTCATCGCTTGTCGCTTCCTGCACTGTGCAATATTTGATACATGACCATAGGATGATTTTAATATTAGATATACAATTGTAAATTCGCTCTGAAACGGTGATACAGTCTGTTATTTGAATTTCCCCATGCAATCAAAGATAGTGGGAAAATATAACGAGAAGAGATCGATGTACGACGGAAAGATATTGAAACAGGAAACAACGAAAACTGTAATTCGCAAGTATAAATCTGATAGAAACAACGTGGAGCGGTTAACCAGGCATGATGCAAACGGAAGGCTTTATTTATACGCTGTATCATTCATGAGTAAAAAGTAAAAGAAGCATAAAAACGCAAACCCTAGAGTGTAAATAATTCAAAGGAGGTGGAAAATTTATTTTAGTACTTTCTTTCCGTCAGATATCGAGATAAACATTTTCATGATAACATTTTCTACCGCAGATGAGTTTGAGACAAACCAATAATTATCTTAACCTTGTGGCCATTACTTACATTTGTATGTATTGCCTATTCGCGCTAGCACTTTTCTCTAATCAACTTATAATTCGTTGTAAAGAGTAGAGCAAGTAATTCACCCCACTGCGCATCGGCACAACCAGCAGAAAAATGCGTAGTAGGTGGCCATGTGCGAATAATACACTGTTTTAAGATCTTCATGATGGTTTGATGGCACAGTGCCTAAGAAGCCGGTTTTAAACACCGGAAATTCCGGGTACGAATCAGCTCAAGAGACAGTCTTAGTGTTAATCACGAAATTATTTGAGCAGAGTTAACCGCGCGTTGTTTCGGCTGGCTTGCGAAATACAGTGACATCATGACATTTCGATATGGTCTTGCCAAAATGGACGAGGTGTTTGGGGATGCCGTTCGATGCGAGCGCCCATTGTGGCTGCACTTCGCTTATGACCTAGCTGATACCCCACTGTTCAGTGTAATAATCAACTCAAGATATAAGTACAGAGTTACAACCCGATTTCGATTTTATGCAACGTGTGCGAAATATATAGCAATACCCCATACGCCATCTGGCTGCAGCTTGCCTTGATCCATCTCACAGCTGACTAAAACAACCATAAAGTGCAAACGCAAATTTCAATTTTTTTTTAAAATTTTACACAAAACGAGTTTCCGTTAGTAAAGCGAACTTCCCCTTTACTATAATACATAGGTTTTTGTGTCTGTGTTCAACCGATTAACTACGTGGTTACGAATCGGTAGATCGCATATGCAGTGGTAACAAAATCACAGAACGTCGTCTGCCTAAACTACTCTCAAAAGTTCTAAAACAAAGCAGCACCGTAATGTAACGTCAACCATCAAAGAGGGCGAAAACGTTTTTTTAGCTAATAAGCACGTAAGGCTACTTCTCAATAAATTAACCATAACAACAACCTCTCATCTACAGTGTCATGTATCACTTTTTAAGGTGTACAATCGAATGACTACTGTAGGTTATGATCGGTATACCGAGATTGCAGACAGTAAAACCATAGCCTGTTTACGTAAACGGCAAGAAGATTTCTAGATGAAAGGGGTGGCGCAAAAATATCTTAAACAAGTTTTTCAGAGAGTTTTTCTAAAAATGGTATATGTCGAAACTCCGCCATGGCCGGTCCCAAGCCCGGATGAGAAAGGAGGAGGGTTGGAGACCGTGGCAAGTCT